AAGCACAGCATTAGGATTTTTTTCTTCTTTGAAATGATGGTTTGTTTTAAAATTTACCTAAATTTAATGTAAAGCTTTTTTTTTTTTAGAAGAACCACAAGGCAGTCCTAAAAATCCAAGCACTTCAGTGCAGCTTCAGCAATAATTCATTTTAGCCAAACCCCAAACGTTTTGTTTTCATGCTATCAAAGGGCTTTGATTTGCTTTTATTGTTTCAACTTTATAATCATACGATACCATAAACCAGAAAGGAAACACACAGACCTCATCAAAGCAATGGGTTGCTATCAGGTTATGTTGATACAGCAGCAAAAGAATGGGGGAGATTTGGTTTCTTTTGGGTTTTTTAAATATTCTTCTAGAAAGCATTTGGTTTTACAAGAAATTCCATCTTTTATTGTGCTTCAGGTGTACTGTGCTGTGTTAGAGTCTCCTACAGAAAGAGAAATCGTAGAATCACAGAATCATGAAAAATTCTGAGTTGGAAGGGATCCACAAGATCATTGGGTTCAAATCCTGTCCCTGCACAGACACCCCAACAATCACACCGTGTCCCTGAGAAAGTTGTTTAAACATTCCTGGAGCTCTGTCAGCCCTGGGGCTGTGACCATTCCCTGGGGGGCTGTTCCAGTGCCCCACCACCCTCTGGGGGAAGAATATCACAATATCCAACCTAGACATGACACAGCTTCTTGCCAGTTCTTAGGAGAACTGCCAGCTGCTAGTTCCTAGTTGTGGGAATAAGAGTGGTTTATTGGAAGAAGTGGTTTATTGGCATCTTGGAAGAGGTTGTGGCATCTCACCAGCAGGGACAGCCAATGGGCTGCGCCCCAGCCAACCAGTGAGGCTGGAGAAAAATCTGGTGAATTCAGAATGGTTTGGGTTGGTTGGGCTCCTAAAGCCCATCCAGTGCCACCGTCTCCATGGGCAGGGACACCTCCCACTATCCCAGGCTGCCCCGTCCAGCATGGCCTTGGACACTTCCAGGGCTGGGGCAGCCACAGCTTTCTGTGATGCCCTCAGAGGCTGACCTGGAACAGAGGCTGGGCAGAGTTAAGAATAAAGTAAGGATTTATTGAAAGGCCTTAAAGGACACACATGGGGCAGTACAAGAGCCTGGCCAGGGCTGAACCCAAGGTGAACCCAAAATGGTCACAAAATGGGTGACTGGTCATGAGTATAAGAATTGTTTTGTCTACCCACTCTGTGAAGAGAGCTCACTAACACTTCATATGAAGCTCAGAACTACACACCTGGGCAGCACAGAATCTGAAAAACATGAAAGCTCAAACTCAGGGCATCATCTCAGCAATGCCAGGGAATGGTTACACCTTGCTGGCACCACCCATCCTACAAAGGGGGAAAGAAACCTTGGGGGGCCACAAAGATTTGTCAGCTGAGGGACTTGGGGAGCCAAGTGGGGGTCAGAGAGGTTGAGCTGAGCATCTTTGAGTCAGGGTGGGACGGAGGAGCTCACAACTGACCCTGTCTGCTGGCAGGAGGCCACATGGGGACCTGTGAGTGCCAGCCCTGCCCAAACCCACCCCATGTGACACTGACAGCTGCAGAACTGCCAGTGCTGGCACTGGGCCGGCCCAGGTGCCTCACAATGACCTGTCCAGCTCAGCAAAGGTCCCCGAGCCTCAGCTTCAGCACTCCCTGCAAAGCCCCTGCTGGCATCTCCACCCCTCTCTGCAATTGCTGCAATGCAGATCTCTGCTTCATTAGCCAAAAATGCCATAAACTCACCCAACCCCTTCCTGGCTGCTGTGCTGTGGGAATGTGCATGGGCAGGGCAGGCACATCCCTTCACTTCCATTCTGTTCTGTGTCCTTAATTCCAGCAAGGTCTGTGCTGGAGGATAAGTGACAAAGCCACAGCTCAGATCCATGGCAGCTGGAGCTGAACAAAGTTTTTCCAAGCTATTTGATTCTCCCAAGAACCTGCCCCAAAGATCTTCAAACCAGGGAAGAAACAACACAAACCACCCAGCTTGTGGCTGGAAGTGGAGAGAGAAGCTCAGTGCCTTGTAAAACATGATGGGCTCCCCCCAGCCACAACATGGAATTAACATCCTTCAAAAAAATCCCAAACTGATAATTTTTTTAAGAAAAGGGAAAAATCAGAGCTGTTTGGGACTATTTTGCTTGGGAAAAAGGAGACAAAGCACTGGGCAGGCAGACAGAGGGAAAACACTCCTGTGCACTTCAGGTGGCCATTGCCACTTCTCACTCCATTTCCCCAGCTGTCAATCTTCACCTTTCACAGGAAAATGGAGTTTTCCACAAAATGCTGAAGTTTCTCAGTCAAATAATAATCTTCTCCCTGAAACATCACTAAAATTATTTTACAGCAGCTGGAGAGGTCATCTGCTCCCCACCAAGGTCACAGAGGGAGATTTTCCATACTGTCCAAGGCTCCTGTGGTGTAATGAGTGAGGAGTGCGGTTCAGACCCTGTAACTGGGTCTGGCTGGACCCCAGAACCTTTCAGTCAGGGGGTTTCCAGACTCAGAGCCCACCACCACCTCCATGCACACTCAGCCCATTTCCTGCCCCTGCCCACTGAATTCCTGGACAGTTCCCAACCATGGATAGAGCAGCTCAGCACTGCTCAGGCTGGAAGGGCTCCCAGACCAACATCGCTTGCTTTGAATGTTCTCTGTGCAGAGAGAAGCGCAAAGTCTACAAGGGCAAATCACAAAATAAATGGGATGATCTCATGTCCTCATGAGAAATGGAATGTTCATCTTGTCATTGCACAAGGTACTGGAATCACCTGTGGCAGAGCTGCAGGAGGATTTTCATGGGACAAGCCAAATCCCCTCTCCTAATCACTCTGCCCCTTATCCTTGCCTTCAGAGGAGGCCACGGAGATGCTCCAAGGGTTGGAGCCCCTCTACTGGGGAGCCAGGCTGGGAGAGCTGGGGATGCTCACTTGGAGAGGAGAAGGCTCCAGGGAGAGCTCAGAGCCCCTTGCAGGGCCTAAAGGGGCTCCAGGAGAGCTGGAGAGGGACTGGTGACAAGGGTTGGAGGGACAGGACAAGGGGGAATAGGTTTAGACTGGATATTTGGAAGAAATTCTTAGTTGTGAGCATGATGAGGCCCTGGCACAGGGTGCCCAGAGAAGCTGTGGCTGCTTCTGGATCCTTGGAAGCATCCAAGGCCAGGTTAGATTTGGAGCAGCCTGGGATAGTGGGAGGTGTCCCTGCCCATGGCAAGAGGATTGGAACAAGATGAGGTTTAAGATCCCTTTCAACCTAAACCATTCCATAGTTCCATGACTGTGAGTGCTCACTGTGAGAGTCCTTTGAGCACAGGATGAGAGATCTCATCCCACCTGCATCAGAGAGCAGCATTTGCACACCCCAGCTGCCTGGCGCCCTCCCTGCTGGTCCTTCCAAACTGGGATGTGCTCCCTGGAGGAGGGGTTTGGCTGTATGAAATCCCATGGGAGCCTGGTGGAGGAGTTGTGTCCCAGAGCTGGACTTTGGAAGAGGAAAAAAAAATTGCAGAGAAAGGCAAGCCACACACAGCGAGACATCAGCAGTGGTGCACGCACACCAACAACGCTGCTTTGCCAGAAAATGAGGTTTTGATTCCTTTTCAATTTTGTTAAAAAATGACAAATAAATGTCTTAATATTAATAAAGAAAAAAATAGATCCTCCGTCAGTGTGAATATATAATGTGATTTGACATACAGAATAGAATTAAATTAGCGAAATACAATGGGCTGGAAAGCAGAGCTGCTTTCCCTTAGAAGAATTGGCATTGGTGTGGAACCAGAGCCTGGCAGGTAACGCTGGCGTGCAGCTACTGCTCCTCACAAATCTCAGCTGAATCCTCAGGTGGTGGAATTTGGCAGGGGCCCCCCAACACTGGCATGGCAATGCCAGATCCTGCCAGCTGAGGATCTGGCTGTAGGAACACTCATTGTTCACATTTCCAATGGGATGCGTGTGAGGGGACAGCTCTGTCCTCCTCATCTGTCTCATGTGGAGAAGGATATTTAGGAGCTTCAGGGGTTGGAATCTCTGGGTCCAAAAGGGTTGTGAGCTCACATGGCCTTGAGAAGTGGCGCTTCCTTGTTGTGCCTGGAGGACATCAGGGATGGAGAACAGACCTCAAGGCTTAATATAAAGAGACACCAAGAGAGAACAAGACTTTTCCCCTTGTCTGGAAGGCCACCCAAGGCAGGGACAAACTGGAGAGCTCCAAAAACCTTGTGAGCATTTTGGTGGTGAAGGCTGGCATTACACCATCCTGGGTGGTTTTACATGGATGCACCATGGCTGAGATGCTGCTCTGGGGAAGGGTTTTACACATGTATTTATAGGTGGCAGTTCCTCGCTGCTCCCAGAGCTGTGCCTACCTCCCTCATTTTGCTCATTTCCAGAAAGTTCAATTTAAATGTCAAATTTAAATGTCAAAGTGCTGAAAACCTGTGAATCAGAAAAACACGTGAGGGGATCAGAGAAAGCACCTAACACTGCTTCCTTCTTCAGCTCCAGTCCTCTGGAATTTGGTCAGGCATTGGCACTGGCTGCCCATGGCAATGGTGGAATCACCATCCCTGGAGGTGTTCAAAAGCTGTAGATGTGGCACTTGGGGACAGCTGTGGCCTTGGCAGTGCTCAGGGAACAGTTGGACTCAATCTCAGATGGGTTTCCAACCCCAATGATTCTGTGTTTGTACCTCTGCTCCCATGGGTACCCTTGCATGCTAATGACGCTTCCCAGACATCCCAGCCCCAGGAATCTGCCAGGGTCTGGCACTTCCCACCACCCCAACCAGCGACTCACTCTGATTCCCGAGTATCCATTTCCTACCAGCTCCCGGGCAGGTCGCATTGTTGCATTGTGTAATAACGTATTGATTAGCCAATCACTCCAAATTTTAGTACTGTGCCTACAAGATAATTAAATTATCTGCCTTTGTTTAAATTGTAATTTTATTTACTCTTGATTCTACTCCATAAAACTCACAGGCGTACGGTGTGTTACGTGTCTTATTAGCGCTTAACTCTGGCGCTAATTTTCAATACTCCATCACCACAAGTATTAAGTAATTGCTGCTGTTTATTCTTTGTGATTGCACCACGCTTGGATCCGCGTGCGGCATCGCAAGTACCCGGCGGGAGCTGAGTGGGGCCCAGCCCTCCTGGTGGATCCAGGCACCTCCAGCCCTTGGTGTGCGTGGAATGTGTTTTTCCCACTTTGTCTTCCTTCTTTTAGGTAAGGAAAGATCCCACTGCCACACATGTGTTCTGAGAAGTGGAACCAAAGCTCCCAATTCATGCAGCCAGCGCCCTGGATTTTGTCGGGGATGGAATGTTGGGGGTGTGGTCCCAAACGCTGTCTCTAGGGGCTGGGAATCATTGAGCACCTACAGGCACACACCCAGTGCAGGGCAAATCCATCCTCTCCCACTGCTGCACGACCAGGGCCAGCTTGGGTGCACAGAGAGATGGTGATGCAGGGAGACACACAGGTGGAGACATCAAAGATGATTTCCCAGGTGCATTCCTGGCTCTGAATGCCACCAGGGCTCTCAGCAGCAGTGGTTCCTGCAAAAGGGAGGATTAAGCAATGGAAATGTGCTGCTGCCAGGCCTTCCCACCCCTGTTTTCTGGGAGAAGGTATAGGAAGAAATGGTATTCAAGGCATTCTACTGGCCCTGGGGCGAGTGCAGGAATGATACAGCTGCCTCTGGGATGAATGCAGAAGAGATTTTAGTGGGTTTAGATTGGTGTGACATGAATTATTTTTCATAATTAACGAGACTGTTGATTTTACATGGTAGGTGTTCAGGTACTCTGGTGATCCGTGGCTGTTAAACACCCAAAGGTAATTCTAAATGCTGTTGATCTATGTCTGTTCTCAAGGGATGACTAATCTACATTTCTCTTCTCCCTCTACAATTAATCCCTGGATAATCTTATCTGCAAACACAAGTTTGGTACCTGGAGGCAGAGGAGTCACAGATCTGCAGTGGAGGTTCCGTTCAGTGACGGGAAGATCTCTGGCACAGAGGGAGCCGTGGGTGCTTCCCCAGCCCAGCTGCCACCCTGCCTCTCCTCGGGGATGCCTCACCATCAGGTCAAGCCCAAAGCAGCTGCTACAGAGCTCTTCAGACTGTTCCCTAATCCACATGCACAGCATCACCTCAGCCTCAGGATCCTGCTCCTCTCCCCACAAAGCCTTCCTGCATCATCCTCCCCCTCCTCCCATGGGCTCAGGCCCTCCCCGGAGCCTTCCTCCCTGGGTACCACAATCCTTTCCTCTGACCTTTGCAAAGCAAACTCTCCCTGCTCGTGTCCTGCCTGAATCCCAGCTCACAGATCACTGTCACAGTGCTCTGCCCTCCTTGTGACACAGCCACTCCTCCCATCCTTGATGCCAGCTGATTCCATGCTTCCCACCACACTCCTGTCACACCCTTGGTGCTCTCTTCCACTCCTCCCATCCCCTGTGACTCTCAGCAGGGCTCCCCCAGCTCTTCCTTTTGTCTCAACACCTCCAAAACCCTCTGGCTGGGACTGTTCCCACATCACCTCTGTGGACCCCTGTTTCCCTGGGTGCCTGATCCCCTCTCCGAGGCTGGCTGGGCCAGGGGGCTGGGTCAGCCCCACATTCTGTGGGATGCTGGACAAGGAAAGTGCTGCACTGCATGAGCCATAATAACACGAAAAGTAAATAATTACAAGGATTGCTAATGCATCAGCTGCCAAGGAGTGAAAAATGAGCTGGTTCCAAGGGTAGCAATGGCACTGTTAATTCCAGGAAAGGGGAGTGGACACCTCCCAGTGTGAGCTGCTGGGCTGGAAGTGTGGACACCCTCACACCTGATCACTGGAGCACAGCCACAATTCCCAGAGGGTCTCACTGTGTGACCCTGGTGGGTGTCACAGGGAACACAGCAGTGCTTCCCTCTGCCTTGGAGATTGTAATTGGGTCCTGAGGATGGAGCCAAGTAGTTTGGTCACACTTTAAAATAAGTGTCAGCGGTTCATGCCTAATTACTTCTGAATTAGCTAGGTGATTCATCAGGTCTGATTATGAATGCATAATGAATTTACCAAATCCACATGTATTAGTGAGATATTAATTCCATACGAAATCCCACAATTCATTCATGTGCCATTTGTTTTCATTCCCTTCTTTTAATAAGCTAATTAGTTCAAATTATTTGTACTTCACTAAAGGCTTGAAACACATATAAGGAGTGATTAGCTTAAAACTCAGTAAATGGACAAGTATGGAGCTCACATTAATTGTGACGGGAGGTTCATAAAGAATTATTATCTCTCAGCCATCTCTGTTTGCAGCAATAATAATAATGTCTAATCGTGACAAGTGGATAAAACATGTGAAGCCCTGAACTAATGCAGCTGTACATGAATTTCTAAAATGAATATCTCCAGGCTCGGTGCTTGCCTTTGAAGTCGAGCTCAGCAGAAAGTTTTGTCTCTCTCTGACAGAAAACAAGACCACAGCTTTGGGGTGGATCCACCCTTTTCCTTTGCTGAGTCTCCCTTCCTTCCCCAGCATGCAAAGAGGGAAGAGAAAGGGATGTGGAATGAAACCCTGCCATGCTCATTCAGCTGGGGCAGGATTTTGGCACTCCAGGCATGCCTTGCCCACCTCACAGCAATGCAGGTCAGGGGTTTGCTTGCACCCAGACTTCCCTGCTCCCCCAGGAAGTGTCCCAGACCCCCAGAACTCTCTGGGATTTGAGTGAAGAAGGAGAAGAACACCTGCATTTTTGCTGGCCTAGATGCAGGAGGAATAGAGACAGAACAACAATGCCACAGGCAGATGCAAACATCCCCATTTGGAGCAGTGCTGGAATGAGGAGGGTTTTTAGATAGAAAAGGGGGAGAAAAGACAGGATTTGTCCTTTTAAAGGAAATATTCTTTGCTAGTGTCAAAATTCTCCCCCAAGCACTGTTGCCTCTTTCTTCTGTTTTTATTTTCCTTCTCCCATTTACTTCTGTTCAAAGAGGGGGAAAAGTCTCCTGCTGGCTCCTGCTCTCCAAAGTGGGTCATGCCAAGGCTTCCAAAGGAGCCCTGCCAAGGAGCTAAATGCCTCCCTTCACTGGAGGCTCAGGGTCTGGAAAAGGCTTTGTTTGTTTTCCTGCAAACTTTGACTGGCTGAGAAATGTCACCCTTCCACCCCCCTCAACACCACGCTGCTCCCCTGCATCCCCTCCTCTTCTTTCCAAAGCCAGACAATCCTGGTCCCTTCCTTCCTCCTCTCCCTGCTGCTTTCTCCACTTGGCTTTTAGCAAGGACCTGAAGATCATGGAATTTTTCAGGCTGGAAAAAGTCTCTGAGACCATTGAGTGCAACCATTAGTGCAGTTGGATGCCAAGTATCCAAAAGGTATTGCAAGGGATCCTATCCGAGCCTGGAGCTCTGGATCAGCCTCAGGAAGGATGCTGGCAGGGATGCACACAGCTCAGTGCATGCAGGTGATGTGATATTTGGGAGTCTACATAAATGTCCACAGGGAATTTTGTGTGACTGGGACAGCACTCAAGCTCCTTTACATCCACCAGTAGCCAACACTCATCCCCCAATGAAAGCACAACCTCTCCCTGTGCCTTCTGTCTTCCACCAAACCCAAAAGATGAGTCTCTGCTGAGGACCCTAAAGCTCAGGGTTTTGGGGAGAAGAATTATTTTCATGGTATCTCTGACCTTTGGAGGTGATCTTGGCCCTTTGCTTTGGGAAATTGTGAGGTACCTGTCAAGGAACATGTGGCCCCATCCTGCTTCCCTTCAACGTTATTCCCTTCACTATTACATATTTTTCAGCCAAATGTACATATTTTATTCACTCACACACTCAAATTCAAGCCCAGTGCCTTGGAGGAGAAGAAAATGGAAGAGGAGAGTACTGGGTAAGGGGGAAATGCAAATAATTGATGGATTGATTTTCCAGGAGTTTGTTCTGGAGCCCTGGAGGAGAAAGTCTCCCTTTGCCTCTCAGATTCAACACCATCAATCTCTTAAACCTCCTCTTCTGCACACACAGCATGGACAGGGCTTGATTACAGATGCCCAGTGCTGTGACCAAAGAGCTCTGCTGTTCACCACATCCCAAACAAGTGCCTGGCACTGTGGGATCAGGGATGAAAGCTTCCCATAGGACCCTGTCCCATGTGGCACAGAGGAGGCAGTGAGTGCAGACATGCTCCACACACAGGAGAGGTGTGGCAGCTCCTGGGTCAAAGTGAATCCTGTACTTCCTCTTTTGTGGAACCAGAATTACTATCAAATCACAAAAAAAGAGGCTTTGGGGCCCATTTCCAGCCCATGAACCCTATTATTCTCACCTCTTCCTTAGATTCCCCTATACAGGACAGGAGAATAAGATTCCAGAAACAGCAAGAAAATTCTGGGGAGCTCTGGCTTCTTATACCCAGGAGGTCACAGCAGCCAAGCCAGCAGGTGAATCCTGTTACAAACTGGGTTAAACACAGTGAATCACATAAAAATATAAGCACAGATCCACAGCTGGGTCCTATAAACATCAGGCATTGGCAGCAGGAGCAGCATTCAGACCCTGACCTGCTCTCCAGAACAGGCAGTTTGTAAAGAGAGAGCTCTGCAGGGAAGGGGACTATGGAATTTCAGGTGATGATGGGGTGACTTTAGGCAGAGAGGGACAAAGCATCCTGTGGCAGTGCCCACCACATCCAGCCAAGTGGGTAAAACCTGCAGGTTCTGTGCTCCAAGATGTTCTGTAGGTGCCACTTTGGCTGCAGATGTGAGAGCCAGGGCAGGAGTGGGGGATGGTCAGGGCTGGGAGCACCCAGCAGAGCCCCAGGCCAGCCTGCAGCAGAACCCAAGGGTGACCTCATCTCCTCAGTGAGTTTTCCTTGCCTGACTGAGCTGTTTGGGGTGATCCTGAGCAGCTCATGCAGCCCTGGGAAGCTGCTCCTCACAGAGCTGCTCTTCCCAAGCACCTGGAGCTTCCCACTGTGCCTGCTCCCTCTGCAGCCCCTGTACCTGATGTGAGGAGACACCAACTCAGAAGTGCTTTCTCAGGGCCTTTTCCCCTCTTCTGAAGGAGCAATAAAAACCTGAGCAGGAAGGATTAGGGCCTTTGAGGAGTGTTCCCTGAGGCAAACCACACTGACACAAACTCCATCACCAAATACAGGTCCTGCCACCTCACCCAAAACTGTCCCCATGGCAGCCATGAGTGCTGGTGCAGTGAACCCACAGCTCTGGGTGGGACAGGGATGCGGGGAAGATCTGCAGAAGGGGAAAACTGCAAGGGAACAGTGGTGATAAACAAGATAATCTAATTTATCATAGAATCCCAGAATGGTTTGGGTTTGAAGGAACCTTAAAACTCCTCTCATCCCAGCCTCTGCCATGGGCAGAAACACCTTCCACTACCCCAGGGTGCTCCAAGCTCTGTCCAGCCTGGCCTTGGACACTTCCAGGGTGGAGCAGCCACAGCTGCTCTGGGAACCCTGCATCTTTTACCTATTCCAAAAAAACCCAACATGTGGGGCAAAAAGCAGCAGCGCTGTCTGATCCCTCAGTCTGAGGCTGATTTAACTCCCTGAAACCCCAGCAAAGAATGCATTCAGTGCTGAGGTATATAAAATATTCCAAGCAAATCAAATATACAATAGGTTAGGAGGAATAAAAGCAATCAGCCAGTCTGCTACTAATGAATTCAATAGCAGCAAAGCCCATTTCCTTCTGTTGGTTTTCTATAAACAATTTACAGAATAAATGTATTTTTGAGGTGTACAAATTGGTCGGTATTAAGATGCTTGATAAACAGTTTCTGGGGAAAGACAGGCTGTGAAAGCCTTCAAGTACTTCCTGAAATGCTAATTTATTTGCTCGCACCCTCACTTTTAACGGAGATGAAGCGTTTTGTGCCGGGAGTGAGTTAAAATCCTGCGGAAGAGAATTATGGCGGAGCTGGAATGAAACCCAAAGGACTGTGTATAATTAGATGAAGACACACAGTGCCAGCTGGTTCAACACCACCTCGGATTTGCAACATATCCATGTTTTATTACGCGTAAGAGAAGACATCAATAATAAATCAGTGGGATATCCAGGTGAGAAGTTTTTCCAGCACAACCTGGCAAAGTTGCATTGATTTTGTTGCAGTTTTCCCCTGTTATGAATGGTGAAACACCCCAGTTTCACCATCATTTTAACCCCCAAATCCCACTGAAACTACACAATGTGCTGTTACAACTTCAAAAAGCCTCCAAGCTGTGGTTTTGGCTCTTTGGTGCCTGTCACCCTTGCAGGGTAAATGGTCTTTGACTGGTGGGTTTGTGCCTCAGCACATGGGCAGCCCATGGGCCGTGGATGTGCAGGATGATCCCAGTGCCACTCCAGCACTGAGAGCACATCCAATGTGGAGTAGGAATCCTCTGGCTGAAGAGCTCTGGAGAAAGAGTGAGAGGTGAAATCCAGCTCACAGTCAACAGGATCTAACCCTGCAGTGTCTGAGGCAAGAAAAATTACCCATCATATGGGAACAGCTCGACCTGATGTTCTTCCTGTCCCTCAGAGAGGTTTTGAGAAGTCTATAAAGCAGAAAGCAGTGAGGAAAGCAGCCCAGGAAGATAATGAAATTCTAATAACAGAGCCATCATTGTGGGAAGAGCAAAGGACGTTGCTTAATGCAAGAAACATGGGCTGAGCTGGCAAAATTCCAGCTGCCACCATCTCCTGGGTGGCTGGTGGGGCAGGGAATGAGCTACTGGCACCAGTAACATTTACCAGAGCATGGAGAAGGAGGGTACCAGGGCACCTTTGGCAACCTTTAACTCCTAAACCCATCAGTTCTTGA